CTCACCCTGCAGTCCCGCTTGCCGTCTGTCCCCTTCGGCCCCGACAGCTCCTTCCCCGGTCCCGGCGGTGCCAAGGAGCCAGGGCTGGCGGTACCGAAGGCGATGGCAGGCTCTCTGACCGAAACAGCCCTGCCACAGGGCAGCGAGCGGGGGAGTCCTGCTGCTGCCAGCACCCCCAAAGTGATGGGGTCCCCGGGAGCTGCGAGGCACCAGGGGAAGCTGGTAGAGAAGGGGCTTGCGAAGGCACAGCTCACCCGGCACCTGGCCAGCCAAGCTGCTCCATAAGAAAGGCTCTAAATACCTGTGAGACCATTCAGACATCCCAGGTGGGTGCAATGAGCAAAGCACCAGCAGTTTGGGGGCCGAGCAGAGGGAAAAAACCTGTGTTTTTATGGCATCAGCAGGTTCCCCCCCACACACACACACTTTTGGGGTGACAGGGGATGCTATTAAACGAGGCGCAACTGCAGTGGTCCCAGCGACTGCCTCTCCCCTTCCCACTATCTCCTCTCTCCCCGCAGCCTGGCTCCTTCCCGCACCAGCCTCTTTCCAGCTCCTCGCGCTGGTGCTAATCCCCTAATCTGTGCAAAGCAACAATTTTCTCCATGGCACAGCGGCCGGTTTGAGATCTGCATCCCTCCTCCCCCGAAAGCCAGCTCCCTTATCAGCAGCAGGTATCAGGTGAGCCAGGCACCACCTACCTCTGATAAACCCATGTTTTATTTTGCCCTATTTCCATTTATCTCCCAGCCCGTAATTAGCGTTGTGCTGCCTTGTGCGCTGAGGAGTGGAGGGGACGCAGGCTTTGCCGGGCAGCCCTGGACCACAGCCTGCTGCCAGCAGGGTTTGAGGAGCCGGTGAGAGCGATGCTCGGGGACGAATCCTGCCTGCCACGCTGGCTGCCGAGCTGTCCCTCCTCTCTCCACACCCGGGCCACGTTCCCTTTAATCTCACACAGCGGCGGAGATGGATTTTCTCCCTGTGAGCCAGATGTGTTGCACGGAGCATAAACACCCGCGACAGTTGTTGTGCTCCTCGGTGCGAAGGCATCAGATGTCTGCATTAAAACAAAGCTCTCCACTTAATTACTCAGGCTGATAATTCAGCGCATGGAGGCGGCTCTGGCTGAGAGCAGAGGGCTGGATCACAGCTGGGACTGGAGAGCCTTGGAGTGCACATTAATCCCGGCTCTCGCAGCCCTGATTAACGGTGCTGGAAACCTGCCCACCCTGCTCATTCCCAGGGGAAGGGTCCGTCCTGGCACCCACTCACTGCCCCACTGGAGAGGGCTCAGGCTGGTGCCCAAGGGGCTCTGCTGACCCCTCGCTGGGCCAAGGTGTCCCCTGCCCAGCATCTTCGAGATGGGATGGCCCAGGACGTGGGGACCATCGCTTGGAGGGTGCGGCACGGCCCCATGCACAGGCGTCAGCTGCGTCTGGAGCCCAAGGGAGCTGCACATGGGACTGGGAGGGCAGAGCCCCAGGGTCACCCATGCAGGAACCCGCTGCCAGAGCACGGCTGGTGGGAGCTGGAGCCAGCCCCGTGGCTGGGGTCAGAGCAGGACCAGGCAGACCACCAAAGGCTTTCTCCTTGGGGTCCAAGCTGCCTGCTCCTGCTAACCTGCATTTCTCCTTCCACAGACCAGCAAACACCTCCTGCAAATTCACCTCGGTCAGCACCGGGGCCCAGGGCCCTTCCTGGGGGAGCCCCTCACTCAGCCGTCGGGGCAGGGATGTGCCCTTGGTCTGTGAGCACCCACCCTGCTATGCCAGTCTCTCCGGGATGGGATGCTCATGCGTGGGGCTGCTCCCTTGGACCCATCTCCCCTGCCCTCTCCCTTCAGCCTGCTCCCCGAGCCTGATCCCTCACCCCTTTCCCAGGCTCCTCACCTCCTCATCCCTCCCTGACCCCAGTGCCTGGGCATCCCTGGATCCAGGGCATCCCTCTCCCGGGAGACCCCCCATCCCTGGGCACCCTGAGGGCTGGCACTGCTGCAGATCTGCCTGTGGGGTCCTGTCTGTCCAGGCAGACTGATTTCCTCCAGCTCTGCTCCTGCCCTTTTATCTCTCTTCCCTGGGTTGCATGCCTCGCTCCGCAGCCTGGGCGAGCAAGAGCGATAGACCCCATCCTGCCCGGGCTGAGCACCCAGGCTGGTGCTGGACACACAGGGGAGCCAGGCTCCATGCAGGCAGGCAGCTGCGGGCGGCACCATCCCAGTGGGGCCCCAAGGGTTAAGTTGTCATGTATTCAGGGCCACGCGCTGGCCAGGAATTACACTTTTATCGGCGTGGTGCTGCCGCCGCTTGAATTGGGACTGGGAACTCTATTTCCGAGCTCACCCAAATTATTCTTGAAGAGATAAAGCGCGGTGCAGAGCAGCGCCGGTGCTTCATTAACATTCCCCAGCCCATTCAGCTTTAAACGAAGATTGCCTGCCTCGGAAAATGATAAAATTGAACATGTGAAGCAGGGCATTATGTTCCATCAACCGATATTATTTCCCACGCAGGGGCCGAGCGGAGACACAAACAGCTATTTATGCAGCGCCTGGCCAAGCCAGGGTGGCTCGTGATGGGGGGAGCAGGCAGGGGGGGGAGCACAGAGTGGGTGACAAGTGCCCCCCACCCATCCCTGGGCATGAGAGGGGCTGCCCACCTGATGCCGGGGAGGCTCTGCCCTCCTGGGATCTCCCAGGCTTGTGCCCAAGGTGCAGGGGAGGCTCAGGAGCCACAGACCTGCTCCATGTATTGGGTGAGGGAAGGGGCTCTGGGGTGCATGGGATCCCCCCCGGGTAGCGCTGGCTGCGCCCTGCAAGGCTGGAGGCATCTCCATTTGCTGCCCTGCCCAGGGGGCTGCGCGTCCCCTGCTAGGGCTGAGCGAGCAGGGTGCTGGCTCCATGTGCAGGACAGGGTCCCACCTCCTGGGGCTGGGTGCTGAGCTTGGCAGGCACTGGGGAGCACCCGCAGGCAGGGAGCACCCTTGTCCCCAGAGGGGAGCTAGCAGCAGAGGACTGAGCAGGCAGGGAGGGCTGAGCAGGCAGGGAGGGCTGAGCAGGCAGGCCCCCGGGGCTGCAATTGGATTTTGCTTGGCTGTGCCGAGCCTATCGATCCAGCAGTAATTAAAGTCGCTCCAAAACCTGACTCATATTCAACCTTGGGAGGAAGGAGCTTCTCTGAGAAACACCATTTCAGAAACACGGGCAGAAGCACTGCTCCTGGTACGCCGGCATAGCAGGGAGCTCAACCCGCCGGGGTGCAGCCAGCCCGTCCCAGCCCTCTGCCAGGCTCAGTCCCCAGGGGGACCCTGCCTTGGGGCCGCCTGGTGTCCAGGGCAGGAGCACCCCATCAGGCAGCGTCCCGAACAGTGTCCCCAGCACCACACAGCCCCGCAGTGACCCTGATGAGCCTCAGCCCTCGGGGTGGGGTCCGTGCTGCCCAGACCCTATACCCCAGGCTATTTTCTCACCAAGCACCTCAGACACCTCCCTGGGATGTGGGGGTGCCACCCCATGCCCCTCGCTTGTCGCTGCCTGGGCCCTGTGTGGGACTGGAACCGCTGAACCTGCAGCCACCCCCAAGAGGCACCGGGGTCCTGGGGGGTCCCGCTGCCATGGGGTGCAAATCCCCCTTCTCTAGCTCAGAGGCGGGCAAGGGGCTTGCGAGTGTGTGCCTGTGTGCTTGTGTGTGTGCTTGCATGGGGAGG